TTTTTATTATGCTATGGTTTCACAATGTAACCACTAGTAAATTGTTCACTCCAAAAAATATGAACTTGAATACTACATATTACATACAAGATTTTTTAACTTTACTTTTTATGATACAACGAAAAACAGTTTTTTTTTTTTCAGTAAGGCACAATCCAACTTTACACGTCTCACATTCCCACCTGGTTCTGTGAGGATTTCTACTAGTGCTACAAAAGGCACATCGTCTGGATGTCCCGTGCTTTGGCATATGCAAACATTGTTCAAACCGTTTTTCATAGGGCACACATTGGTTTGAAATGACTCATTGTAACTGTAGGTGAAGAATTCCTACTCCGCACGTTTTTTTCACCAACGACTCCGATTAAACCTGAAGCTACACATAACCTGAAAAATTTCAGGTCTGGAACCGCGCACTGCGCTTTTTGTTGAAACAGAATAAAAGCATTGAGAACGCATAAATCTATGAAATGCCAAATAATTCAGTGCCACCATTTCTTAGATTTGCGGTCAATCTCATAAACAGATTTCAACATATCTGTTTTATCAACATAGCCCATATGTTGGTTATATTCCTTGACCATCATTGGGCAGGCTATGACTTGTGAGTTTCCGTCTTTCTGCTTTCGGGCAACAGTCGCTTCTGTTGAAGGATTCTGATGATTTCCCAAAAAGTGAACTATTTTTCGGTCCCTCGACTTTATAAATGCCAGTCCATCTTTGCTAACCCTGCAGTCAGATTGTCCTCGGGTCTGTAATTCTTTGTCAGATTGTAAGTCATTTGGGACATCTTTTCGGTTAGCCCTAACTGTGCCGCATGCATAAGTAAATTCTGCTTGAAGTGTCTTCTGTAATGACACAGAGTTGAAAAAGTTGTCAAAGAAAACGTGATAACCTTTCCCTACCAAATCTCGCGTCAAATCTAAAATAACCCTTTGGCCCAAGTCTTTTTCAGGTTGATTATTAATTTTTCCAACATATATCTGAAACTGGCAGACGTATCCATTCTCGTCAGATCGAACCCAGACTTTATACCCTCGTTTGATGGGTTTTAGGGGCATACATTGTTTGAGAAAACTGCGACCCTTAAAACGAATCATAGATTCAATTCAATTCAATTCAATTTCTTTATTTCCATTAGACAATTTACAAATTGTATTGGAATTGTCAATAGCAGTGTAAAAGCTACATAAAATTCGTAAATACTAAACACACAAAATAACACTTTAACAAACAACAAATACACATATATTATACATCAAAGTATTCGTGAATATTATAAAATCCTTTGTATACTAAATGCTGCTTTAAGCGCTTTTTAAACAGTCCAGTCGATGAACAACTTTTTAGTTCAGAAGGTAACATTGAAAATTTTTAGACCCAAGTAATTGGGTGATCTGCTGGCAACATTTAACCTACAAAAAGGCACATAAAAATTATTTTTTTGTCTTGTATTTATAGAGTGGATATTATCATGTTTTATAAATTTGTCCTGATTATTATGTATATACAAACAAAGCTTATATATTAAGAGAGATGGCATTGTTAAAATTTGATGTTTTATAAATAAATCCCTACAGCTAACAAAAGATGGCATATGAAACATTACTCTCAATATTTTTTTTTGTGCGACAAAAACATTACCTGACATTGAAGACTGCCCCCAAAAACATATTCCATATCGCAATCGGCATTCA